CCAAGTAATAACTTCTTGGACTTCTGAAAAGTATATTTCATTTCCATGCCATTGTGTTTTTAACACGCTATTTACAGTGCTCAGTTAGCATTTACCCGAAAGTGCGATTTTTCTCTCATGAAGCACTCATAATCTTATGTAGTTGATACGTAACCCAGAAATTTCTGCTTGATTAGAAGACAGTTATTGATCGTATGCCCTGGATAGATTTGTTAATTTCTTGGTATCGTTATTCAAATGCATATTCGTGGTAGAGTAATTAGCACTTTCTAGTTATTGTAAATAACGGACATTAGGCCAGGTGCGGTGGCTCATGCCTTGTAATCCCAGCCCTTTGGGAGGCCGAGGTAGGCAGATCACAAGGTCAGGCGGTGGAGACTATTCTGGCTAACACAGTGAAACTCCGTCTCTACTAAAAAATACAAAAAATTAGCCAGGCATGGTGGCATGCACCGGTAGCCCCAGCTACTTGGGAGGCTGAGGCAGGAGAATCACTTGAACCTGAGAGACGGAGATTGCAGTGAGCCGCGATCGCACCACTGCATTCCAGACTGGGCGAAAGCGAGACCATTTCAAAAAAAAAACCAGGCGCGGTGGCTCAAGCCTGTAATCCCAGCACTTTGGGAGGCCGAGGCGGGTGGATCACGAGGTCGAGAGATCAAGACCATCCTGGTCAACATAGTGAAACCCCGTCTCTACTAAAAATACAAAAAATTAGCTGGGCATTGTGGCACGTGCCTGTAATCCCAGCTACTCAGGAGGCTGAGGCAGGAGAATTGCCTGAACCCAGGAGGCGGAGGTTGCGGTGAGCCGAGATCACGCCATTGCACTCCAGCCTGGGTAACAAGAGCGAAACTCCGTCTCAAAAAAAAAGAATGGACATTATAAATAATGGTCTCCAATTTTGACTCTTCTGAGTAATTCTATCAGGAACATGTTGAAATTCCAGTGACTTTTTAATTTTTTCTTTTTTGGCTTAGAGGCATCTTTTGTGCATAATGTATTTCTTTCTTTCTTTTTTTTTTTTTCTCAAGACAGGGCCTCACTCTGCCACCCAGGTTGTAGTGGTGACACCATCAATGATACCATCAGGGCTCACTGCAGCCTTGACCTCCCCAGGCTCAAGTGATCCTCCCACCTCATCCTCCCAACTAGCTGGAACTATGGGTGCATGCCACCACAACTGGCTAATTTTCTTATCTTTTGTAGAGATGGGGTTTCGTTATGTTGCCCAGGCTGGTCTTGAACTCCTGGGCTCAAGCAATTCACCTGCCTTGGCCCCCCAAAGTGCTGAGATTACAGGCATGAGCCCCCATGCTTGGCTCTTATAATGCATTGCACACACCACAGTGTAGTGAGCACATTCTTTTTTTTTATTTATTATTTTTTAAAATGTATTATTTGTATTATTATTTTTAAAGATGGGGTTTCACCGTGTTGGCCAGGATGGTCTCAATCTCCTGACCTCGTGATCCGCCCTCCTCCTCGTGATCCTCCTCGGCCTCCCAAAGTGCTGGGATTACAGGCGTGAGCCACCGTGCCCAGCATGAGCATACTTTCACTGAAATAACACTATCTATATTCACATATACATACAACTAGCATTGTTAGAAACATCTGCTATACATCGTCTTTACAAGGTGCACTCCATTAAAGCACCACAGTGTTCCAATGACCAGTGAGTGCTGGTTTATTATCAGTTTTCACTGTTCCCTTCTCATAATTTTTACCTGGGCCCATTGCTGCCCAGAGTAAAAGCTACATTCTTCTCTCCTCCTCGCAGCCAAATGTCCTAAGACTAGTACCAGCCAATGGTATGTAACAAGTGATGTGGGTAACTTTTGATGTTCTTCAAGGGAGAGAGTGTGCCCCTTATTTCATCCCAATGCTTGGAACGTGATCAAATGGCAAGCCACCTTAGATAGTATGGTCTAGCCGGGCGCGGTGGCTCAAGCCTGTAATCCCAGCACTTTGGGAGGCCGAGGCGGGTGGATCACGAGGTCGAGAGATCGAGACCATCCTGGTCAACAAGGTGAAACCCCGTCTCTACTAAAAATACAAAAAATTAGCTGGGCATGGTAGCACGTGCCTGTAATCCCAGCTACTCGGGAGGCTGAGGCAGGAGAATTGCTTGAACCCAGGAGGCGGAGGTTGTGGTGAGCCGTGAGCCGAGATCGCGCCATTGCACTCCAGCCTGGGTAACAAGAGCGAAACTCCATCTCAAAAAAAAAAAAAAAAGATAGTATGGTCTAGACTAGAAGGCCATGCAACGACACGGAAAGAGCCTGGCTCCTGGATGACCTCACAGAGCAGAGATTCCCTACCAGCCCTTGACTGTCTACCTCCATACTATTACATAAGGGAAAAGCTTCTCTCTTGACTAAGTCACTCTTGGGATCAGCCTACATCCCAATTAAATCTATACCCTAACCCAGGGGTCCCCAAGCTACGGCCCGCAGGCCATATGCAGCCCCCTGAGGCCATTTATCTGGCCCCCGCCGCACTTCAGGAAGGGGCACCTCTTTCATTGGTGGTCAGTGAGTATTGGATGTGGCGGTGCCACAAAGCGCGTGTTGCTCACGTACAGTACTACTTCCAGGGACGCGGGACGCACGTGTCACGGCTCCGGAAGCACGTCATATGACGCACATCTGGTCTGTGGCTGCGGCGCCCCACATCACCGGAAGCAGTGTGAAATAACAGCAGAAGTAGGAAGCAAGGCAAAGCACTATAACCATTACTGCACAGTACAATGGCCCCCATACTCCCCCAAATGTACAACAACATAATGGTCCCTGTAACCTCCCTTTGCCCAAAAGTCTCCCCCCACATTACTACACACTGTGTTTCCCCTATTATAAGACCCTGTCTTATATTAATTTTACCCCCAAAAGACAGGGGCTGTCTTATTTTTAGGAGGTGTCTTATAATAGGGGAAACATGCAGCAGTGGGCTTCCCACAGAAGAGGCCCACCGCTGCTGCAGATGTCCAGGACGCTGTGTACAGTGTCACAGGCTGATCACCGCCATCCCTGTATACCGCACTGGAGGCGGTGCTGGGCCTGTGACACTGGATACCGCTGTCTGGGATAGTGGACGCAGCAGCACTGGCTGTGAAGGGTGTCACACCTTGCATAGTCCGGCCCTCCAACGGTCTGAGGGACAGTGAACTGACCCCCAGTGTAAAAAGTTTGGGGACCCCTGCCCTAACCTTTGCGAGACAAACCATTGCATTGAGATTATGTAAAGGGTGGTGGGGGAAAGAGAAATATATGATGATGTACTGGTCAGTATTCCTTGTTCTTCAGTTTTTAAAATGTGGTTGGTTGGTTTGTTCATTTTGAGATGGATTCTTGCTCTGTCGCCCAGGCTGGAGTGCAATGGTGCGATCTCAGCTTACTGCAACCTTCGCCTCCCAGATTCAAGGCATTTTCCTGCCTCGGCCTCCAAGTAGCTGGGACTACGGTCATGTGCCACCACTGCCGGCTAATTTTTGTATTTTTGGTAGAGATGGGGTTTCGCAATGTTGGCCAGGCTGATCTCAAACCCCTGGCATCAGGTGCTGCCTTAGCCTCCCAAAGTGCTGGGATTACAGCCGTGAGCCATTGCGCTTGGCCTAAAATATGTTTTAAAATTCAAGTTCAAACTAATATATATGCTAAAATAAATATGAAACTAAGCACATAGTTTGTATTAGCATCTGATAGCATGATGACTTTTACTTTTCCTAGTTTATTTTTTCATTCCCTGTGGTTCTTTATTCAGCAAATGCACATTGAACAGCAGAATTGGGTTTTAAACACCATGAAGGAACGATGCACTATGAGGAGCAATGAGGTGGATAAAAAAGTACTTCCTTTCTCTAAGAAGATTACAGTGTACTTGCGGAGATAAAATGTTTATTAAAAGGTGGCGTGTGATAAGTGCCATGGAAAAGATTCCAAGGAGGCATATCGGCTCAGAGGAGACATCCCTGCCACCCTTGGCCTTCATGACCAAGAGGTTATTTGAGCAGGTTTATTTTGGTTGCAGTTCAGAAGACTATTACCTCAATAACAATATATGGCCAGGCACAGTGGCTGACACATACAATCTTAGCACTGTGGGAGGTCAAGGCTGAAGGATTGCTTGAGCCCAGGAGTTCAAGAACAGCCTGGGCAATATAGTGAGACCTGTCTCTAGAAAAAAATTGAAAAATAGCCAGGTGTGATGGCACATGCCAGTACTCCTAGCTGCTTGAGAGGCTGAAGTGGGAGGATCCCTTGAGCCTGGGAGGTTGAGGCTGCAGTGAGCCATGATCATATATATCACTGTACCCCAGAGTGATAGAACCACAGGGCAATAGAATGAGACCCTGTCTTAACACAAACAAACAGACAGACAAACAAAAGCAATGTAGGTATTTTTTGTTACTAGATAGTTTATGTCACTGTTCTTCCAGATTCTATCTATCCTTTAAGCACATAACAGTGATCTTTGCATTTTCATCTTACTCTCACTTTACTGAGATTATGTTTTTATTATGATCATTTAACAGATTTATCTCAGGGTATAAAAATGTCCTCATTATTAACAAGGAAATAAAACAAAGTAATGGTGATGATATAATCTTTTCTTAGATTGCAAATAGTCTCACAGTTATAAAAAATATTCCCTCTTTATTAGGCAAACAGTGCCCCCTTTTGACCACTGGATCCTATAAAAGAAATGCTAAGGAGACACTTTTTATCTCTGCTAAAAATTAAATTATATATAGATTTATATTATTATATCTATATATTTGTTATAGTACTATAATACCTAATTATATATTTTATAGATAGCATATAATTTCTAAAGAAACCATCCTATGTAAGTTTAAGACTCTACTGTGTGCTTTTTATTATTTTGTAGATGCATGTTGTATTTTTTTAATGATGAAGTCCACTAGAGTGTTTAATGGCAGTTTTGTAAGATCCAAATTTTAGTTTTATGAATCTTCTTTATCCTGTCTGATTCAGGTTGAATACGAAGGCTTAAAGCATGAGATTAAGCGATTTGAGGAGGAGACAGTACTGCTGAACAGCCAGCTGGAAGATGCCATCCGATTGAAAGAGATTGCCGAGCACCAACTGGAAGAAGCCCTTGAGACTTTGAAAAATGAAAGAGAGCAAAAGAACAACCTGCGGAAGGAGCTCTCCCAGTACATCAGCCTCAACGATAACCATATCAGCATCTCAGTAGACGGACTCAAATTTGCCGAGGATGGGAGTGAACCAAACAATGATGACAAAATGAACGGGCATATCCATGGGCCTCTTGTGAAACTGAATGGAGACTATCGGACTCCCACCTTAAGGAAAGGAGAGTCTCTGAACCCTGTCTCTGACTTATTCAGTGAGCTGAACATTTCAGAAATACAGAAATTGAAGCAGCAGCTTATGCAGGTAAGAACTTGGTTTCAGGCCGCTAGAGTGAATTTCTTGTAGATTGCATGTAGCATGTTGTGGGACTTCTGATTCTCGATTCTGGCGTTTCACTTCCAGGCTTCTTTTCTTTTCTTTTTTTTTTTTTTTTTTCTTGAGATGGAGTCTTGCTCTATTGCCCAGGCTGGAGTGCAGTGGCATGATCTCAGCTTACCACAACCTCTGCCTCCAGGGTTCAAGCAATTCTCTTGCCTCGGCCTCCAGAATAGCTAGTACTACAGGTGCATGCTATCATGCCTGGCTCATTTTTTGTACTTTAGTGGAGACAGGGTTTCACCATGTTAGCCAGGATGGTTTTGATCTCCTGACTTTGTTATCCCATCTTGGCCTCCCAAAGGGCTGAGATTACAAGTGTAAGCCACTGCGCCTGGCCCCAGATTTGTTTTCTAAATATTGCTTCTTCAATTAGAAACTTTGAAAGTGCAGTATTTTAGAAAGACATGACAGAAGGGGTGTTGATGAGAGATGCAATCTCTTATTTTCATCACTTTAAGAAATGAATTTCTTAGAGTCACAAATTAAGTTCCAGTGAAGTCTGAGAAAAGAGCCTTGGGTGGGTTGCAGTGGCTCACACCTGTAATCCCAGCACTTTGGGAGGCCAAGGTGGGTGGATCACCTGAGGTCAGGAGTTCAAGACCAGCCTGACCACCATGGAGAAACTGTCTCTACTAAAAATACAAAAAATTAGCCAGGCATGGTGGCACAGTCCTGTAATTCCAGCTACTCTGGAGGCTGAGGCAGGAGAATTGCTTCAACCCAGGAGGCAAAGATTGCAGTGAGCCGAGATCATACCATTGTACTCCAGCCTGAGCAACAAGAGCAAAACTCTGCCTCAAAAAAAAGAAAAAAGAAAGACAGCACCTTAATGCATTTCTGATTAACAAAAGAATTCAAAAGCTTTATATACAAGTAAAATGATGAAAACCATGCAGCTTTTCATCACAAGCAACTGGGTATATAGCTTCCAGATTTATGGTTACTGTTAGGCACGTCACTTTCTTAAAGAGACCCCCTAGGTAGGCTTTGTGTGGGCAACGAGGCAATTTTATTTCACACTTGGGTGCAAGTTGGCCAAGTCCGAGAAAGGAGTTAGGCAAGGGGAGTAGGAAGGGGGACTGGTTAAATAGGTTGGGGCAAATGGTCGGTTAAAGATGATACCTATTTAGGGAGGGGGAAGGTATCACGGGATGCATGGTCGCAAGGGTAGGGGTCATCTATTACAAACAGGCATGGTCATAAGGGTGAGGTACAAATCTGTTGCAAGCAGAGGGGAGGGTGAGGTCAATTACATAGTCACAGGGCTGGAGGTCTTGAGAAACCTAGTGTCTAGGTGGGAAATTTTCGCAAGGCTGAGCAGGTGAAGGTTGCAGGGGGAGAGCAATCAGCTGAGGCAGGAACTAGTTGTTTCACTTCTCTTTGGGGCCATCTGGTTACTTTCTGGCTCCTGGAGACCATCCAAAAGTGTACGTGCGTGTCACCAAGGCTTTAATGGCCAGGTTTGGACTTGGAGGCCTGACAGTTACATTTCACAAGAATACTTTAAACTTTAAAAGACATAAAGAACTTCTATGTACAAATTATCCAGAATACCATATAATTAAAAATACAGAACAAGTATGATCTAAAACCAAAGGATTCTTACTGCAACATGAGTTAAGCCTTAAAGTTTTAGCATCTTCCAATCAAATGCCTTGCGAAGAGTCCCAGCCTTTAATCTTATTTCTTGTGAAATAGCTTTCTAGTTTAGAGTCTTGCCTTCCTGCCACACCTAATGGAAATGTTAAGGAACAGCAGCCATCACCATCACCTGGGGGCTTATTTGTACAAATTGTCAAGCTCCCTGTAGATCTACTGAACTAGAAATCTGGTTTAACAAGCTTGTTAAGTGATTAAATTTGAGGCTTAAGCTTCAATCTTAATCTTATCCCTCCAAGGTTCTTCATGTATAGCTGATAATTAGAGGTTGTTAAGCCTCTGGCAGTCATCTGCCTCCACAGAAATGATGACTGGAAAAGTGAAATTAGCAGAAATAAGTAAGAGAATAGAGAGGCAATGATGTTGATTTTTTTAACAGGTTTATTGTAATACAACATCAAGACTTAACACATCATGCATTTTCCTTGCACAGTGCTTTTGGCTCCTTAAAAAATAATTTGTTCTCACAATATTTAATTTGAATCAAGATAAGAGGTCATGACCCCTGGAAGAAAATGATTTTTTTTTTTTTTTTTTTTTTTTTTTTTGGTGTCTCGCTCTATCACCCAGACTGGAATGCAGTGGTGCAATCTTGGCTCACTGCAACCTCTGCCTTCTGGGTCCAAGCAATTCTGTCTCAGCCTCCCAAGTAGCTGGGATTACAGGTGCCTGCCACCATGCCTGGCTGATTTTTGTATTTTTAGTAGAGATGGGATTTCACCATCTTGGCCAGGCTGGTCTTGAACTCCGGATCTTTTAATCCACCTACGTTGGCCTCCCAAAGTGCTGGAGCCACTGCGCCCAGCCAAAAATGAATTTTATATAGACTTTCACCTGACCACGAAGTCCAGTTCTGTGTAGGTACTTCTTTTCTATGTCTTTTTGCTCAGTTTACACTAATACGGCTAGGTTGATTGAAACAGATAACATGTACTTGTCCTGGTCAACATGGTGAAACCCCGTCTCTACTAAAAATACAAAAAATTAGCTGGGCATGGTGGCACATGCCTGTAATCCCAGCTATTCAGGAGGCTGAGGCAGGAGAATTGCTTGGACCCAGGAGGCGGAGGTTGCAGTGAGCCGAGATCGCGCCATTGCACTCCAGCCTGGGTAACGAGTGAAATTCCGTCTCCAAAAAAAAAAAAAAAAGTACTTGTGAAAAAGTTTTACATGACAGATATATTCATAAGAATTTGTGCCCCCCAGATTGAATAGCATTAAATATAAATTATATCAGGGTTTTTTTTTTTTTAACTCTCTTGGTGATGGATTTGAGACAAAACGTTCGTGGGTTCAGGCTTTTTGTTTCTTTTTATTTTGGTGGCAGTGCAGAAGATATTAGGAAAAGAGGCTTCTACGCATAAAACAGCACAACAGTTTTCAACCAGGTCATCTATTGGCTGAAAGCTCAGAGCTGCGCTCAGATTTAATTCTAAATGTGATCTGAATTGGGTAATACAAAAGTCTAAAAAGATGAAAAGTTCAATGAAAAGAATGGTGGAAAACAAGTAAGTTCTTAGCAGTAGAGTGGCTCTTCTCCGTTCTCAATAGACTGTTTTTTGTGTTTGGGGTGGGACAGGTCCTCATTGCCAGCGAATGTTTTCTTCCTTCAGAGGGTTTAGCATCTCTGATCCCAACTCAGGAGAAGCTGGTTTCATTTCCTCAATTGAAGTGATGACCAGAAATGCCCCATGTATTTAAATGCTCTGAGGGTCAGCCACTAGTTGACAATCATTCTTAGAGGACAGCACTTTACTCTCCCATGGACCAGGACACTTAATACCTTCCTCGTTCGAGTGTCACAAAGGTTTATGAATTACATGCAGAGTGCTGAGAACAGGGACTAGCTCGCAGTAAAGGCTCAGTAGTTATGAACTGTTATTATTTCAACTCCCTTGGTCCTTTAATTTATTCGGCATTCACTTTATAATAATCTAGAGAATTATTATTAACTATTCTTTTTAGGCTATTAGCGCAAGGATAATCATCTCAAAAGGGACTGATGTGGATACTGGTAGGAATATAGAAAAATAACAGTTAAGTCTCATGATGTAAGAGATCTGAAAAAGGATTTTCATTTAGCAGAACGTCAAGAGTGAGAAAAAATTTGCTGGACAAACCCTCCCTCAATCTGCCGGAAAGCTGTGTCCCTGCAGATCTTTCATCAGCACTTAACTGATGTTCACAGTTTGCCGAGATGTAGAGGAGCTCAGGTCGGCCCTTATATCCCAAAGTTTGCTCTAGATTTAGTTGTGAAAACCAGGTTCAGCACAGGAAGGGCCTTGCAGTTTCCAGTCTCATATTAACAACCCTAACTGTAATTTTTTTTTAAGGTAGAATATCCATTTATCTTCTTGTAATCAGCTTTTTTTAAAAAAAAGCATCGGCTTTTCCATGCCTTCTCATGAATTATTTCTTTGTAATACAGTTTTTTCCTTAGCCACACATCCCTTCGGGTTTAATTTACGTAAATAAACACATTACAAAAATATTACAAGATACGTGGCCTAGAATTTATTGTAATTGGCTTTGATGTTAATAAGGAATAAAAATAATATGGCAATTCTGATCAATGAGAGTACTACTATGCACCTGAAGCATATATATGTCAGTATCATTGTGAAGCAGGATCGGCCGCAGACCTCTTGGACACCAAACTGGGAAGGAAGAGGTGTTTATTATTATTATTATTATTACAGTCGGGAGCCAGGCAACATATTTGTCTAACAACCAAGCTCACTCAACAAAAAGAAGCTCTGCCTTTCTATAGGCTCTGGGTATTGCACATAAAATGATCTTAGGTTTACAGCCTTAGAAATGACAAGTGAAAGGGTCTTGGGTTTACAGCCTTAGAAATGACAAGTGAGGCCGGGCGCGGTGGCTCTAGCCTGTAATCCCAGCACTTTGGGAGGCCGAGGCGGGCGGATCACGAGGTCGAGAGATCGAGACCATCCTGGTCAACATGGTGAAACCCCGTCTCTACTAAAAAAAATACAAAACATTAGCTGGGCATGGTGGCACGTGCCTGTAATCCCAGCTACTCAGGAGGCTGAGGCAGGAGAATTGCCTGAACCCAGGAGGCGGAGGTTGCGGTGAGCCGAGATCGCGCCATTGCACTCCAGCCTGGGCAACAAGAGCGAAACTCCGTCTCAAAAAAAAAAAAAAAAAGAAATGACAAGTGAAAGGGTCTTGGGTTTACAGTTTTAGAAATGACAAGTGAAAGGGTCTTGGGTTTACAGTGTTAGAAATTACAAGTGAAAGGGTCT